TCTGTGTCTCTGCAACTGTGTATGAATGTGTGTGTGTGCAGAGGTGTATGTGTGTGCATGTGAATGTGTACACATGTGTATGTGTACTTGAATGTGTGTATACACGCATGTGTGTCTGTGTGTCTGCAGGTGTGTATGAATGTGTGTACAGGGGTGTATGTGTGTGCGTGTGAATGTGTACACGTGTATGTGTACCTGTGTGTGTCCAGGTGTGTGTGAATGTGTGTATACACGTATGTGTGTCTGTGTGTCTGCAGGTGTGTATGAATGTGTGTGTGTGTACAGGTGTGTGTGTGTGAATGTGTCCATGTGTGCGTGCTCGTGTGTTTCAGGTGTGCGGCTGTGAATGTGTGCAAACAGGCATGTGTGTGCGTGAGCTTCCACCCCGCCGTCAGCCTGGACACGGCAGCAGGATTCATACCTAGAGATGTGTGTCTGCAGCTGTGTATGAATGTGTGTGTGTGTGCAGGGCTGTATGTGTGTGCGTSTGAATGTGTACACGTGTATGTGTACCTGTGTGTGTCCAGGTGTGTGTGAATGTGTGTATACAYGCATKTGTGTCTGTGTGTCTGCAGGTGTGTATGAATGCATGTGTGTGTACAGGTGTGTGTGTGTGAATGTGTSCATGTGTGCGTGCTCGTGTGTGTCAGGTGTGCGGCTGTGAATGTGTGCAAACAGGCATGTGTGTGCGTGAGCTTCCACCCCGCCGTCAGCCTGGACACGGCAGCAGGATTCATACCTAGAGATGTCCTTCTAAGTCTCCGTGACCTCCAAAGATTTAATCTCCCTGTCTCCTTATAAACGCTTGGCAGGTGCATCTTCTGCGAACACAGGCCCGCGCCCCTCCTCGGACTCTATGATTTCACATAAAGAGCAGAATTCCGCGGCCGCCTCGTGCCCGTGTCCACAAACCAATTCATCCGTCTCCTTTCCATTCATTCTTCATGTCTGACCACGCTCCCTTTCTCTTCTCCTTTTAAATGGAGATGTGATGAGTCAGGTAATAAGAGACAGCCGGGGTCCCGCGATGTCACCCCCACGTGTCCGCGCCTCCCGGGATTCTGAATACGGTTCATTATTCTTTCCCGCAGCAGAGCCCGTTGGATGTGTGATTGCCTGAACAGGGCGGGGTATTTCCATCATCACCCCGGCCAGCACGGCCCGCTGAATATTCAGATTAAATGGGGACTTTTTCCCTATGAATAAGGCATTTCATTCCGTCCCGTGATATACGGCGTCTTCGGGGACGGAGAAATTGAGCTGAAGGTTGGTGGAAATTGTATTTTCCAAACGTACAGCGCTGTCGCTGATCATCAGAAGGTAAGACGCGGCCGTGGGGGGCGAGGAGGTCAGGAGAGAATTCAATCAGAGATGAAAATGGAAAGGGGGCCATTTTTCTTTTTCTTATTTTATTTATTTTTTTTTTTGAGAGAGAGTATTCCTGTCACCCAGGCTGGAGTGCCGTGGTGCCATCTCGGCTCACCGCGACCTCCGCTTCCCGGGTTCAAGTGATTCTCCTGCCTCAGCCTCCCG